GCAGTCTGTATTTATTACAGCACTCACCATGGAATGGTAACCAGCTGAGTGATGCTAAATCACTACATTAAAATTCTAGCCACCATATCAGAGTTCTACTGTCTATGCATGGAGACTGTGTAAAATCTCTCTCATTATTCAGATGCCGCTCCATTGAAATGTACTGGACAGCAATTAGCAGGTCAACAACTTCCACCTAGTAAAATGAGGCACATTGTTGAAGGATATTGGTACATGGCATCTGGCAGCTCATACATCATTTTGTAACTTTGTAACTTGGCAAACAGTGTTTTTTTAAAAAAAATGGCAATTCTGAGCGTATCGTAGGGGTGGGTTGTAGCATTTTTACATGCACATTTGTAGCATATACACATACACAAGCAATGCAGGCAAAGACTATCTGTCATACACCTGCAGAATACCCAAATAAATTTAATGTAACATTTTATTCTTGCAAGTCCTTTTGAAGTTTCCCATTTGTATGTGATCAAAATACTTAGAAAATTAAAAAGTCTTTCTTCTATTTATCAAATGAGCATATAATATTGCAGAATGATAGAAAATAAGAGTGTAAGATGCCTTATATGTTGTAACTCTGCTGGTGCAGAATCTTCCCTCTCTTTGTTCATTAGACTCACAGGGGTGTTAGAAATAGTCCCTTTTCTTTACTTCCCATATGACTTTCTTAGTGCTTAGATATTATGCAATAACACAGACCTGTGCATGAAAAATGGATTGACTTAGTCATCGTGAAGCAGTACAGTATCTTACAGAACAACAGCTTTCCAGTGTTACCATATTTTTCAAAATAACAGTTTGAAAGATCCTATCCGTAGTTTAGACTGCCATTAGTCAAATGCACAGAATCTGTGCCTAAGTGAGTGCATTAAGCTCATTGATATAGGTAGCGCATATCTTTCTTCCCCCCAACAATGAACGTTTTTCTCTAGATATACTTTACTGTTAAAGAGATTTTTAACATTATGGCTGATTCATTTTTTTCAAAATCTACTGCTGTTGAGCTGTAACTGGAAACTAGATTTAATGACTACACTTCTGTGTGCAAAGCTGGCATATCAAGCATCATTTGGAATTCAGACCATTCAGTAACTGCCATAGTGCTTGCAAATAGATCTGTCTTAAAAAGGGTGATGTAATGCTGATTCATAGGAATGTTAGGTGCAAAATCTTGTGATAAAAATTTGGGCATAGGAAATGTTTGTTTTCAATAAGACAGAAAGCCATAAAGTTTCATGAAAATAATGTTAATTGGATGTGTATACTTTTAAGTTTCTTTGTTCTACACAATTTCAGAAATTCTGAAAATATTACTTGGGTGACAGAAAGTAAGAGGAAAATTTGCACATGTACACATAAGCATATGTTCATAGTATGCTATGAATACTGAAATCAGGGTGAATATTTGAATAGCTGATTTGCAAGTGTATACTATACTACCTATGTGGTAAATACAGAATATGTCACCAACATAAATCATGGGTTTAGACGCAAAAACATTATGTTGTTATAAATGTTGTTATTGGATTCTCTGACAATCCAATACTTTGCCCTCATCATCTACCTAACAAGTTATTTTTCTAAACCAGCTACTTTACCTCATTTCAAGTTGCAATGCTGTATGGAACCATCAAATAATTGCTGTGCTCTAGAGGGACTATTGTCTTGCAATTTTGTAAGCCCTAGTATAATTCCAAGTCTCTCCCTTATGTTTTGCCAATATAAACTGGATCTGATGAGAAACTTCACCTGCATTTCCATAGTATAGAGCCAAGTTCACACCTGTCTTTAGGTATGTTTCAGTGTCTTAAGTGGATGCAGAGCCCTGTAGTTCCTACTGGAGCTCTACCAAATCAGGAATTATAGCAGCCAAAGCAGATTTTTTTATTACACAGCTGGAGCTGGAGGAGTTCTTTCTCTTCCTAAAATAGCAGCAGTTCCCATCAAATATAAGTGTTGTGCGGTTTCCTCTCTTACTGAAGAGATCTGACTCCCAGCTCTCTGGAGTGTACACCAGCTGCCAGCTTATTTTGTTGAGGGAGAGGGGAAGAAAAGTTTCACTTTTCCAAATGGGACCTTGCTAGCAGGCAGAAAAGAATTCAGGATTTATTAAGCCAAAAAAAAAAAGGGAAGTAAAATTATTTTGCCTAGGGGCATAGATTTTAAAACTCTTTGATTCTCTGTTCCAAGGACAGGACAAAATATTTAATCCCTGAAGAGAGGACAGGACATCAGACATCTTTTATAATAGATAAGCATCTTAACCACTTAACTGGACCATAAGGCTACTTGCCGTTTTTTTTTTGGTAACTTGTTCTGTTATTCCACACTGTGGAAAGATTTCAAGGGGTAGAGCTGAAAGTTCTTTCCTATGCTCTCAAATACCCCTCTAAGCATTCTCTACTTTCCATGGAGATGTGAATCTGGAATACCTCAAGACAGAGAAACTGAAAATAAGACTTTCTGACAGAAGAACCCTCAAAGTGACAGCAGATGAAAAGAGGCTGCTTGTCTCTTGTGACATAAACTGGCAAGTAATTATTCCTTTTCTTTGGTAGTCTTCCAGGCTGTAGCTGATGTTCATGGCCGCATGTAAAGCTCAGCATGCTCAGTGGCCCAGCCTGACACCTCCAGGGTGTTCTGGGTTCAGCCATGGGAACCCATACAAAGATCACACAATTCAGTCTCTGAGTGACAGGCAACATTTGGGCCCTCTTAGTAAAAAACCTAATGTCACAAAGTGAAATTGGCTAAAGTTTGGCTTTTGGAACAATAAATGTTTAGTTTAGAAAGTGACTGGCCCATTTAGGTCCAGTTACAAAGTATAGTAAGCCTGGTCCAGCCACACAACAAGTGCACGACCGGGTCATTGCTAAGGAATAGCAAAGGATCATTTTCTCTCCACATGCCACTCTTCTTACTCAAACCCACTCCTGAGAGTTGCTTTCTCCACAAAAATTCAGCATGTCCCTCATTTTTAGGTATAGACTCTCCGCAGTTGTGTGTTTCCTTTTCCTGTACTTTCAGTTTGCATCTTTCTTCAGGAAGTCCCCAAGCCAAACGTTTTTAACTCTCAGGGAATACCTCTCAGGATCTCAGGAAAAGCATCATTCATCATTATGGGGTTGCCTCTTCTGGTACATTTATCTAAGCCACTGCTTTGGCAGCAGTAGGAGATGACTTTTTTGATTAGATATGCTTTCAATCTGAGCCAGTGTGGATGCTTTTATATTATCTTATGTTTTCTACTACAGTTTAGAAGAACCTGGTGCTCACAGAGACACCCATGATGTAATTTTAGCATGGATGCTACTAGCCACGGAGGCATAACACCAAATATGGGTAAATTTGCATGTGGCTAGCCCAGGCAGGGTTGTTTTCCACTGTTTTTCATGTGGTTACTTCTACTGCTATCAGTCATCAGTTTGCATAGATCCATGTGAATTGCTGTCCAAAGTTAGCCAACCTTAGTGCTATTTCAGGCCCTGCATTTTCTAAAACATCTCTTCTCTTGTAACCTTCTGCTCTCTGCAGGGTGAAAATAGGCTTTAACATGGAGGCAAAAAGCTCAGCCTACAATAAGATCTTTGCTGCTGATTGTCTTTAATAACAGGCTATGATAGCACTTCCCTGCCTTCTTAGTACAAGAGGAATGAGGCAGAAAACACTAAAAGAGAATTATGTCTTAAGGAAACAGCACCTGAGATCAAACTGGCACTTGAAAACTATATACTGACAGATCCTGAATCGTCATAACATCTCTTTGAGATTAAACATAATCCAATTTCTGTGGATGTCTTTATGTTATTGGAAGTTATGTGTTCAAGAATATTATAAAACAATAATTCAAAGTATTGCAGCTTTATATTAAAGAAACTATCCTTGCAGAAGTCATTGAAAGAAATGAAGATTTTATTTCCTTAATAATCTGTTCAAAATTTATTAGAAAATACATACTTTCAACCTTGAGGTTTCTACAGTCTTAACATTTTTCCATCCATATGTATATGGCATAAAACATCCTTTGAGTACACATAGAAATCTATGGATTAATTGAAAACTTATAAAATTACTTCTTCACAAGTACAAATGCTGTAGGATCCTTCAAAATAAAGCTTCCATGTAAGATTTGGGGAAAGGTTTTTTTTGATTCTTTAAATTGATCAATGTTGAAAATGCATGTGAGCTAAAAGGCAATTTTCAATATTTTCTTTTCTTAGTGAATGAATAGTGAACTAGGAACTAAGAGTAATAATTATTCATGATAGCCCTTTATGTCACCAAAAACTTGTCAACCCAGAAAGGACAACTGAGATTTTATCAGAAGTAAAACACAATCACCTTTGCTGTGTATGAGAAAGACAAGAATTAATGAAAGAAAAACTAACAAAATGCAAAACACTAATTTTCTATGTTTATTTAGATCTAGGTCTCTCTGAAGCCCTATTTTGGAGGTTTAAATGAGATCAAATTTCTTGAAGAAGTCATGGAATAAGCATAATCCTAAGTAAAAATGTTTAAAGGCAGATTAACATTTTGTTGATGTGACAAAGATGATTTAGTCCTCAAAGGGAGTTTGTGTCATTTATAAAATTGATGTTTTCTTGGATGGTTGAGAGAAAAGTTGCTCCTAAAAGGACGGGTGAGGACTGTAAGGGAAGCAGAATCCTCTGACAATTAGGCATAAAATAAAATGAAATAAAATCACTTTGCATAGAAACAGCTCTCCTCATGCTGAAGTAGGGCAAAGTCACCCAGGTCGTTTGAGAGAGTGATTCTGCTTCTTGGCCTAATTTGGAACATGCTGAAAACAGTCATTTATAGGGAAATACAAAAATGTGCTGGGTCATTGGAAGAAAACTCCAAAAACTAGACAAAGCAAAGAGAAACCTCATCAGCTACTGCCTTTCAGAAACACTACTCTCTTCCTCCTTTCCATTCCTGCCAGTGAAAACAAATTAATTTTGGTTTTGAGTCAATAGGATCTAGGTATAAAATAAGAAGTAAATTCCAGTAGGCATAATAACAAGTAAAAATGTACGGAAAAAAAAGGGTAGTAATCATTTAATAAGGGCAGGAAAGGGTAGGATCACAATCAATTACTACCTTTATCTCAGGCAAAGATGGGGCTGGGATCAACCCTACCATAAATGGAAGTCTGATGTTCAGCCTCTTAAATGAAGAAAAGAATTACAATTGGTGAAAAGCATATGTTTCTGCTTCCAGAAATGCCCCTGAATGTATACAGTTGCAGAAAGATTCACAACATTTAGAATATTCACAACATTGAGAGAAAAAAAAACTGCAAATAAACTTCACTATTCATTAATGCAAATGCAGGTTGGAGAGACCTAACTACACAGACATGCTTTAAACTACATATTGCTTCTCTAAGAGAGAGATCTTTGAGTTATCATGGATAACTGTCCAAAAGTGTCTGTTCAGCACCCAAGGACATCCAAAAGAATGCTTCAGAACCAGTTCTTGTCTCCTCATGAATTTAGACAGAGCCAAGTTCTGCCACAGTGGTATTTCCGAGAGGGCCAGGAGGTTGCCACTTTGTGCCACGTGCTCTAGGTGTCCCTTCTTGAGCAGGGGCATTGGACTAGATAATCTGTAGAGGTTCCTTCCAACCTCAACCATTCTGTGATTCTGTGATTGGTGAGGTCAGTGCTGGAATAGTAGATTTCAGAAGGCTTGATAGGATTTCAGGGGAAGATTTGGAGAAGCTATGTGTGGGAGAAGGTTCCCTGGTCTCTTCTCACTCCTTTGCAGCCCTTGGCTCAGGGATTCATCTGTCTGAGTCATAGGTCTAGAGTGGTGCAGTAGAGCTCTGTGACCTTGACTTGTTTTTACTGAGAAAATTGTTGTGAAGGTGTGAGCTAAAACTGTGCAAGATAAGAAAGGAAAAACACAGTCTTTTTTTTTTTTTTTTTTTAACAATGAGTTAGCAGAAGAGGATTTGATGGGAAAAACACTGCCTTAAAATATATAAAATATATAAATACATAAAAGCCTAAGAATAAAATGAATGAAGACGAAAACTCAGCAACGGTGAGAATCAGTGCATTCCCAATAGCAATAGACACTAGCCCTTTCTCACTAGACTGACAACTGCATGACCAGTGAAGATTGATCACATGTGCCATTAAGGATGGTTAAAACTCCTTATTCTTAGGTATTGTGTATATTAACCAATAAAATAATTGTTTTGCACAAATTATTGGATACATTCCCTTTAAAAGCCTGCTGGTACAAAACAAGAAGTGTCCTATAGACGTGACCTGATGAGGGACAACAACACTGTTTTGCCCTGAGCTTCCTGCCCGTCTGAAGCCAGTCTTCCCTTGTGAAACCTCTAGTTCCAGCCTATCCCTATCTCTGCAGGCAGACTGCATTTCATCTGCACACAGTCATGGAGTAGTGAGAGAAGGCAGTAGACTCCACTTTGGTTCATCATGTGCCCACATGCTAGGCTAATTCACCCTTGGGTTCCTGGCTTAACGCTCTATATAATTATCTTCACCCACTTGCTTGGGTTTATTTGGAAACAAATGGGTTCTCGACAGCTTGGGAGATTCAGCATCAGCATTCTCATCTAGCCTGCTGACCTTTCACGTCCTGTTAATCCACCACTCTACAGCTGAATCAATTACTGGATGATTTATCTGACCCAAGTGGGATGAGTTTGACCAGTTCCTTGAAGAAAGAAGTCTTATGTCACTAAACAGATCTAATGGCGAGAATAAAACTATGCTTCCTTATGTGTGCAATAGATTCTCTTGCTGCAACTATCATCTCCTGTCATTGCCCAAAGTCTTGCTCTAACTCAGGAAACTTTTTTTCTTTCTTTTTTTTTTTTTATTCTAATCATGGGCTCTGTAGAAAAAAATCTCTCAAAAGCCGGGAGAAAGTCAAAGATGATAGGACAAGAGCCGGATTTAAATGGAAGTATCATGAATTACATTAATTTCTAATTTTTTTTGTCCCAGCTGAGCACACATTGTACTCAGTGACCATCTGTGGCCAACAAATTATCCCTCAACAGTAATTATCTGGCATTAATTATTTTTAAACTTATTTGTCTAAGTAATTCTATATATGTATACTTTATGGTTCATTGATTTCTATGAACTAAAATGGAATATTGTAAAAATGACCAACTTATTTCCATGACCAATGGAAAATGACCAATGTATTTTTATGAATCCAAGAAATTATGATAGATGATTGATTTATTCATCTTATAATGAAGTCCAAGCAACAATCCATAACAAAGGGGAAAACCTAGCTTAAGTAGACCAAACAATGACATGGACAAAGCTGTAGCAGTTTATTCCTCACATTACAACTCAGCCTGCAGAGAAGTGGTCTTGCTGTTTTGCTGTAGATGCTTTAGGAAAAACGTGAAGCTTGCTTAGATGTGATGACCCATGTCCTGCTCTTAATTACATGAGCTCCAAACATCAGTAATTCCATCACTTTCAATTATATGTTGCTTACTCTAGGTCTTGGAAGAAAAGGAGCAATTTATTACAATTCACATTTTCTCAAGCTTTTGCTAGCCCCTTCATATTCATGTACAACTGAAAAAAACACAGAGAAAAAAATGTATTTTTAAAAAAGTTCACTTTTTGTGAGTGCAGAACTTAGCCGAGCAGAAACATAAAGCTTTTTTTCCTTAAAGAGACTAGCATACATATTTCTTTTTCCTGAGGCAACTTCCTGCCCCAGTGAGGGACACAAGTTCCCTGCAAAATTCAAAGAACAACTTAGGTCTCTATAAAGAGTTTCATAAAAATGATGCTTAGCATAAAGACTGCTTCACTAGCTATAGAAAAAGTAAAGTAAGGACAGAGGAATTAATTATCTAATGAAGGTTAGGTTCTTGCTGAGGAAAAGGCTGAGGAAAAACAGATATATTCATAATACTCAGCAAACTATGTGGGTTGTCACCTGGCCCATAGGAAAATTGCTTTCAGGAGCATATTTTGATTTGGAGCAAAATTTTCACAGAATGGGTGAATAATTGGGGTTGGATGATACTTCTAGAGATCATCTGTACCAATCCCTCTACCCAAGCAGGGTCAGTTAGAATAGGTTGCACAGAACCATGGTCACTAGGGTTTTGAACATCTCCAAGGGCAGAGACTCCACAACCTCTCAGTGGAATCCCTTCCAATATTCAACTATCCTCACAGTTTAGAAGTGTTTTATTATTCCCAGGTGGAATGTTAAGTCTTGAATGTAGGTCTCCTATATGCCAACAGAAGTACTGTAGATAATAGTTGCTCTCATGGGCAGCTTGTCCTAAAGTTCTATCCTTCAGATGTACACACAGGTTTTGAACTTCCTGGAAAATACCACCTGGATTCATCCCAGTTTTTAAGTTCAGTGGTAAATACCCTGTCTATGAATCCTGTCACCGAGTACATGTGAACTACAGCTCTGAATCAGGATTCCTTGCATTTCTATACAGAAGTATCCTTGCAACCATTCAAATCCTGGAAGCTCCATCTTCTATTAGATCCAACTCATGTAGGCAGTTGTGATGTAGGTAAAAGCACTCAACACTGTTTCCCTCAAATTAAAATTAGCTTAGAAAGTAAACATCTTAATTTTGCTTATAAATAAATTGCATGGAATTGTTACCTTAATTACCTCTATCATTACTTCCACAATTAAGAGCTAAAGAAAACATTTTGTCCGTAATGCAATTAAATTTCCTTGAGGATCAATCTTTTCCATTTTCAGAGAAAACCTCTTGATATAAGTACTTTATATAAAGTACAGTATGCAAATGCTTTTCTCAATTACTTTTTTTTTCTCCAAAAGAGCTTCCAGAAGGATTGCCTTTCCTTGAGCATATTGAAATCTTTTTTTATTTTCCGTGATGGAAAAGGACTCTTTGCAATTTGTTTTACCTCTGCCTTTCTAGATCGTTCATGGCCCAAAAATATTGCAAATAATGCTCCTACATAAGAGCTTTGGTTCTTCTCTTCTTCATAAAGAAACATTTTTTAAAAGTTTGAATGAACATTGGAAGAGACACAAATACCTACTCTTTCTGCAGAAGAGTTTCCATGAAGTAAATGTGATGAGCTCAGTTATTTAGAGCCAGGAATGATAAAGAACTATTGGAAAAAAAGCTTTTACTGGGAAGATGAAGCACATGAAATTGCTAGTTCATTGCTAATGTAGGAGAGCACAATGCTCTGCTACAGAAACCAGCATTCACATACAGAATCACAGAGTCGCAGAATGGTTGAGGTTGGAAGGGACCTCCAGAGATCACCTAGTCCAACCCCCCTGCTCCAGCAGGGACACCCAGAGCACTTGGCACAGGGTGGCATCCAGGCGGGTTTGGAAGGTCTCCTGAGAAGGAGACTCCACAACCTCTCTGATTAGCCTGTTCCAGGGCTCTAGAAATAAACTGGAAATACATAAATAAAACCAATAGAAGGGGCAGTTCTGCCTTTCTGCTCATAGATCTGTCTCCAGATTACTTCCTAAAACACTGCATATTTCAAGAGTGACCTTAGCACAGCACATTCCGTTTTTTCCTTTTGCTCTGTTTGAAACTAGTAGCATTGGAAGGCTTAGATTTATCTTATGGAGGCAGGTTACATAACATAGATCAACTGCTTCCTACAGAGATCATAATAGATATGGTGCTTTACACTTACCCTCTGATTGTGTGTTATCAGACATACAAATAAGCAGCCTATTCTACTAAAATATGCAAGCAGACTTACAACATCTTAATGAGAACAACAAAAATGAATAGATTTTTACTTGTATCTAGAGAAATAATGAATTGGAGACTCTGAAAGAAGGTGGTTAGTTAACTCTGATTATTAATTGAAAAAAAAAAAGTTTTATGCAATATATTCTTTTTATCTCCCCAAAATATTGCTATTAGCTTTGACGGTGTATTTTCAGATCAAACAAGAACTTGTTACCTTAGTAGATAACAAGAACACTAACATAATAATGTTCTTTTAGAACTCCTAACAAAATTATTATTATATTCAAAATTACTAGGAAAAAGGAAGAACTAAGTCCCAGGACAAATCTTTAACCCATGATGAAGACTCTGGAATCTTCACTGCCATAAAATTAAAGGATAAGCTTTATGCAACTATTATGCAGCAATTTTATGGTTAAAAAGAAATTAACAAATATTATCTATTACAAATACAAAACTAAGACTGGAGACAAAACTCAAGAGAACCATTTATTTCGTTCTCGACTATGGGCATTTAGTCTTTATTTTCAGAACAAATTACAGATCCTTGGTGCCTTCAGACTTATTGTACATATAGATTAAATAAAGTTGTCTAGATGCATGATTTAAACTCCAAAAGCATAAATCGGTGTTTCTCTGCTATGCCAAATAGTCAAGAGGGCCTTCAATTATTACAGAGAGAGAGCTGTGTATATATTTCTGTTATAGGGCAAGGAAAGAGAGGGAAAGATTTAAAAAAAAAAGGAAAGAAATGAAATACAAAGAAATGTGGTTGACTTACTGTGTTTCAGTATAACCAAGATTCACCTCCTCGCACTTTATTTGGTCTACAGGTGGGTCATACAATATATGCTGCTATAGACTACAGAACAGCAGGCTCAAGCAGTAGCTTTTTGCTGCTCACATTATG